TTTCCAATGCCAAATATTATTAAGGAATATCTAAAGTAAATCTTTCAAAAAAAAAAAAAAAAAATAGGGAAGTAGATACAGAAGAACCCACAATTTGAAGTGAGAACCCAACGTTGGGCGCCACTTTTTAAATGGTAGAATTTTATTCCAAACTGTAGTGTTTTTTTGGTCTCTGACTAAAAAATTTGTCTTTGATTAAAAACTTCGCCTCTTTAATTAAAAATATTAGATTTAGGAATTGAGTGTTTTATATTGGGCGCCACTTTAATTTTTTAAAAAATCTTCACTTCGTTAATCAAAAATATTTAATTCTGGAACTGAAATATAGTGAGCACCACTTACAAATATTGATCGGCATATGGGAAAAATATTTAGGATAAGCACATGGATCAGAAATTTTAAATTCGTTAACCGAAAATCTTATTTTGAGCTTAACATTTAATTTGAAGTAAATTAACATATTGACATTGGGCGCCACTTATTTTGGTCGTCACTTTTATTTTGAAAAGGCTAAACTTTTTCTATATCCAAAAGTTAATAAAATATCTGAAATACTCGGACGAAAAAACGATTCTGGATGAGAAAGTCGACAAATTTCTATTACGGTTGGGAGTTCGAACTCCATGCATAAATTTTGGAATAAAAAGCGTCAACTGGCATCAGTTATAGGTATTGGACATAAAACTGCTATGGCATCGGAAGTTACTCATCTCATGCTGAAGAAGATTATCGATTTCTGGTCTGTTCCGGAATTGACATTTAATTATTTTAGAATGCGGGCTTTATGTTGGGCGCCACTTTGATGTATTTGTTACATGAAAGGTGTAGGCGGGAGTCTTGTGAAACGTAATTTATTAGGGGAAAATAAAGGAAGCTCACATTGGGCGTCAAATTCGAGGATCAGAGGATAACAATATCAAATAAAAAATGAAATATCCTACAACTGCCTTAAAGCCCTACGATGGGTGCCATTTTCTTTAAGCGATTTAATTGCCTACAATTTTCCAATGACAAAGATCAATCAAATTAAGAATTATTTTTAAAGCAGACAAAACAGTCTCAGAGGAAAATTGAAAACATAAGTAACACTTGTAAATTCTTTACATTGATACAAGTAAACTTCAGTCCATATTGGACGCCAATTCGATTTGGAAAGTACGACACAATTACAGTTGTGTCTTTTATTTGTAGTGATGATATTGATTATGCAAGGTAGAGAACATCAATCAAATAAAGTAGAATAAGTATTCCTAAAAAAATAACTACAACATAATCCTTACGTTGGGCGCCATTTTCCTGATATTTGATTTGGGTACAAAATAGTTATTCATTTTCAAAAAAGAAGACACCAATTTTTTTTTTTATTTTTTCTTGGGCGCCATTTTAATTTCCGATGGAGGACAACATATTTTTAAACTCTAATAATTAATACAAAGTACCTAAAACCCACATTGGACGCCAATTTCCACATTCGGTTTGGAAAGTAGGTCTTAATTAATTTGGTGTCTTTAGATTTGGCATGTGCCACTCATTTATAAATTCTCTGCATTAATAATAAATGGCTTATGTTGTTTTAATAAATAGAAACGACATAAAATTCACATTGGGCGCCATTTTTATATCCAATTCGAAAAATAGAGCCCAACTAAAATGGTGTACTTAAATGGAAGTACGACGTGGTTATCATAAGGTAGAGCATATCAATCCAACAAATTAGAAGAAAATATATTCAAACTATTTGCTAAATAGCCATACATACATTCAGCGCCACTTTCTTTGCTGATTGAATGCTTAAGAAATTTCAATAAACTAAATTAAGTTTTTCAGATTAAATTTAAATTGGAAAATACATATTTAACATTTTAATTTTTAATCCCCACATTGGGCGCCATTTTTTATGTTTGATAAATAACCCTATTACTTGCGGTATTAAATGAAGTATTTACCTCAAATTAAGATAAATCTAATGACAGTTTAACAAAGTGTTCTCTTCTGTCTTCTTATTGATTCCTTTAGGAGACATGTGGCATCTGCCACACTCCCAACTTTTTTTCATTAACATTTTTTATCACTCAATCGAAAATTACCATAATTTAAAGGTGTTAACTTAAAAAATCTTTTATTTGTCTCGGACAAATAAATCCTCAGCTAATTGCTTGGGTTTAACAGAAACAAACCATTCCATCTTCATGGTTTTGAAGCTGTTATTATCTCCGAGGCCATCTATTGGCTTACTGTCGCATTGCGTTTGATTTTTTTAGGCTACCACTAATTTTGTATGCCCTGCAGCATTTGTGTCTTTAATTAGTGCTATATTGCCTTTAATTTATGCTCTATTAACATAAAAGAATTTTCTCAGAATAACCGGTCAACTATGAACGGGGCGGTGTAAACCTTTTTATTCTTTTCGGAGTTCATAAACATATTTTGTGGTTTCGGTTTGGGGGGTTTTCTTCCTATTATTTTTACTATTATCTTGAAAATGTATCTAACGAATATCAACACCCATGAAAATAAAACAAATTGTTGATATCTAAAAAGAAACAGAAACCCTATGGGCTTATCCTCAGCCCTGGCATATGTCAAATGTTAAATATCTACTCCATGTGGAGAGAGAGAGAGAGAGGAAGAAAGAGAGTGTACCACATAGAATTCTTGGGATTTTTTCGGAAGACTAATCAAATGTCTGGCTGACTGACTGGCTGGTGTGATTATTAATGAGTTTTCTGAACCCCTAGAAAAGCGACAACAACAACACCAATTTTGTTTATTTATTTTTTTTATATTTAGAAGAGAACAGAAATGTTTAAACAAAAAAATGAAACAGACGACCAAAAAGCAACACTAAAAATAATGCCAGGAAGGGACAGCAAAGTATGCGGACATGTAATGTCTGGTGGTGTATGTAGTTTTTGTTGTTGCTGCTATGTTTTTTGTCATCGTCGTCGTCGTCGTTTGGCCTATGGGTGTGTTAAAGTTCGCCCAATTGTCAGCTGTTGTAGCAGCGAGTCGAGTCAGTTATTCAAACATTCATCATGCACTGCTGCATTGTTGCTGCTGTCTGGTGTTGGGGCAGCTTGTTGCATTACCCTGATGTTTATCTATTTTTATATCCGCTTCTTGAATTTCGTTTTCTTCTACATGTTCTTAAGTGCATACATACACACAGACAGACTCGCTTTTTAATCACATCTATTTAATGAATACAAAGAAGAAAAAAAAATAGAAACAATGCATTTTAGAAATCATTTTCAAGACTTGAGTGCAGGATCTGTTCCTTTCCTAATGCCCACAGGATTCAATTTCCTGGAAACGCAAGAAAAACAAAGAAACAAAAAACATATGCCAACATAAATGCATTTAATATTCTTTTAAATGCAAACACCGCCCAGATTCAGGATGTTTTGTTTACTCAGTTCGACTCAAATGCACACATACATACATACATACATACATAAATCCATTGGTATTCATATACGTTGATCTGTGTACATAGGAAAACCACAAAACTCTTCAACACCACAAGTGTTATCTGCCAGGATATTTTTTTTGTGTTTTTGCCTTCATAGAATATGCTAATTCATTTGTAGAAAAAAAAAGAAATATCAAATAATCTCCAGGATTTTGGGAATTTAATGAAGAGGGATGGAAGGCAGAGAGATTTAGATAATTTTTTTTGTTTATATGAATAATGCAACAGTTATTCATATTATTTCAATTTATGAAAAAATATGGAATTCAAAATGAAAGGATATTTGTTATCAAAGATCTTATAAGGAAACAATGGTAAAGAGTCTTTAGGATTCGGAAGGATTTACAGGAAGTGAATTAAGATATTTGGAAAAATTACAAAAAATTGATCGTCGATGAATTAATAATATAATTTTCAAATTATAATATTGGGCGCCATTCTCTAAATTTGATTTTGGGAAAAGAATTTAATAATTTCTAAAAAAGTGCCTATATTACAAGTCAAGGTACATTTTCGGGAAGTAAGAAGCGCTTACTCACTTGACTCATTTGTCTACCTAGGGCGCCATTTTCCATATGCATTTCATTTTATTTCAAAAGATATTTTTCGAAGGGTACAACACTTCCCTTAAGAATATAGGGCATACGACAAATTTTGAAATTCTTTTCATTAGTACAAATACCCTTAAACACACATTAGGCGCCAATCTTCATATTCGACGCTCAAATAGACCGTTATGTTTAATTATAAGATGATGGAGACGATATTATGAGACAGCATCAAACAGTGAATTGGAATAAGATTTCCAATTATTTGCCAAAAACCCCCAAATGGGGCACCATTTTCCAACGAAAGTGGAAACCTATATCTTAAAGGAAGTTAATTTTTTCAGAATTAATAATACACTTCACATTTCAAAATTCTTTCCAATAACCTTTTAGTTGCGGAGATAATTTTTGGTCTGCTAAAAATGATTTGGATTAAGAGAAACTGTCTTAAATCCACATTGGGCGCAACTTTTTGTATTCGATGTGAAAAGTAAAGTCCATTTAAATTGTTGTCTTTTAATTAGAGAACGATTGCAAGCTAGAGATTTGAAACAAATGAATTACCAAAAAAAATCGTATGCTATTCATATAAAATGTTCTCCTTTGGCGCCACTTATTATATTCCGTTTAAATTTAATACAATTTAAAAAAATATTCAACGAATGCCCCACGTTGGGCTCAACTCAATACACATACAGTTAAATTATTTAGAAATACTTTTGAATGGATAATTAAAAAAAAATTCGAATTTTTTGTCCCATATTTAGCATCGATTTAAAGAAACCACATTACGCAGTTGATAGTCCAATTGTTTTGGTATTTTAATATTAACTCAGAAAAGAATCTCAAAGGCAGTAAAAAGCTTTTTAAAGAAATATTTATGAAGTGACCCATGTTGGGCGCCATTTTAAGGCGTAAAAGACTCCAAAAATCATTATCAATTAAAAGAGCTACTTTGAAAATACTGGGAGTAAACTTACCAAATTTGTGAGGAATCCATTGCGAACACCGATTACACTGACACCATCATTTGTTGTTGCGGTACGAGGAAATCTGTAATAAAAAAGGAAGAGTTAGAAATATAAAAAAATGTTCTTAACAATGATATCTAAAATTTTAAATTATATGTATAACAATTTTGAAGTTAGATGCCACGCGTTTTATTTTTGTTGAGATCAGAACCTTAGAGTTGTATTGTCATGACCTAAGAAAATTTATAATTTTAATTATGAAAAAAAATCGAAAATGAATTGCTTGCCTTCGGAACAAGGCCAAAAAATGTTTATGACAGATTTCCTTCTTCTAGAAACAAAGAGAAAAAGGAAACATGCAATTTTTAATTCCACCCCTATAAACTATGCGTTCCCATTTAAATCCAAAAGATTTCCTGTGTCCCATGTGCAAAATTGCAACACACCCTAAATTCGCATTTACCTGTCTTGGGTATTTTTTGAAAAAATCAGGGGTGGCCATTCATTTTCTTTAATCCCCTAAAAGAGTACCGCTCTCCGATTTTGTCTTATAAACAACACAAGGACATGACAGTTTGTCCTTTGCGAATAAAAATGAAACACAATTTTTGGGAAAACCATTTTCTTTGTGAATGCAAAGATGCCAACGGTGAATGATGTACAGGTAAAAGGAGATTAAACAGCAGGAAACTGATCTTTAAAATAGCCCAACGATTTGACGAATGTGGAAGATGAAAGACAATATCCACCATTGTTGATGGATTAGATAGTAGGGATAGAATGGATTTGTAGAATCTTAGCCGAAATAGAGAGAAAACGAAATTTAAATGAATATTGTCTTTTTTAGATGAAGGATAGATTTAATAACCTGGATAGTCAGTACCTGTCGCCATTTTATGGCATGTTGTATTTTTTTATTTTCTTTCTATATGGTCGCCATTTGTTTTTTAATTTATTTACATACAAATAATCCTTCCGATATTTTGACTACTTTAAGTGAGACCCACGTTGGGCGCCATTAATAAAGAAAATGTGAAGCCCTGATTGCGAAAAGTTTACGGTTGATCAGCATATGAGTTTTTTAAAATATATTTTTTGATTTGACTAAATGGCATCATGCTATGTAAAAACCCTATGAGAAACCCACGTTGGGCGCCATTAATAAAAAAAGCGTGAAGTCATGCTTCCGAACAGTTTACGGTTGATCAGCATATGCGTTTTTTAAAATATATATTTCGATTTGACTGAATGGCATCATGCAATGTAAAAAAACTATGAGAAACCCACGTTGGGCGCCATTATTGGGTAATGTATGAAATATTGATATCAAAGTGTCATAGTATTTTGTAGAAATCATTCTTCATTTCCATTACGCTTCTTAGCCCCTTATTCCACCGTTAGCCAACATCCCTCAGCTTTAAATATCACACATTCCCTCTCTCCGAAATATCGTGGAATTCAATTTTACCTTGACTTCTAGTGAGAACATTTTTAACTCAACGCCCACCTACTAAACCAATTACCCGAGCAAATGAATATGCAAACAACAATTACAAATATTCGTATCCCTGAATGGTGAATAAATATTCAACAAAAGTTACATACGATGTGACACATAGAGAGTCTGGCAGAACTTTTAACACTTTTGAACAATGTGTAGCAACCACAGCATGAAATTGTTTGCAACAACTAGTTAGAAAACCAACAACAACTATTACAGCAGCAAAAAACGAGGAAGCTAAAAGTACTAACTACGAAAAGTGATTTATGATGGGTTTGACAAAACTAAAAGGATTACAGGCAAACGTACACAGGGACAAAAAATTTAAATGAGACTTTGGGAAGAAGGACCACCCAATGTACTCTACTCCTTGCTTATCCTTTTCCTTATGCCACGGCCACATACTGTTGCTTCACAACTGGAATTCTTATTGTATGCGAGCATTGAATTCTTAGAATTCCTTTATTGTTATCCTTTCAGCTATGCGTCGTGTACTAACAATGCCAAGGAGACGAGCAAAAGAGAGCTGAAGGAAGATAGTGTATCAGTAATTACTGATGAAATTGTAGCATACATGGATTTCCTTTCTGTTTTTTCTCTGGAATCGCCCATTGTCTCCCGGCCAGGCCGCGCCATATGTGTGTGCGTGCCGAAAAATAATGAAACTCTGTTGCCATATGGATGCTGAGCGAGAGGGGGATTTTTATTGTTACTTGTTGAATTTTATGAAAAAATAAAACACTGAAACATTTTGAAAATGTGAAATAGAAAATAATTAAAAAGAACTACCGATAAGCCAAAGACTGGGTTGATGTGAAATTTATGAAGGTGGAAGGAAAAATCAAATAATATTGACAGGTGATTGCTGAGTTTTTTATTTGATTTCAGGTAAAAAACACCATTTCTATTTATTTAGAAGGAAACAAAGAAAGATTAACAGGGCATTACGGTTCTAAATGAAAGGCAATGTGATTTTTTTTGGGGAGGATTTGATTTCTTAGGTATCACCTCCAAGAAGCATTTGCAACAGATGTTTTAGGGGGTTTATTTTAAGTACCGAAATAAGAAGAACATGGGGGATCAGAAAATAATCAAAAAAGGGAAGGCAATGTTCAAGAGGATTATAAACAATATATTTTTACTTATTGCATTTATAATTTTTTCCCAGGCGGAACTTCATACAACCATAGGAGGAACTTGAATTGCAGCTAACTCTGGTTGGCTTCAATTTGGGGATTTCATTACTTGTGTGATGTACAAGAATCTGCAACCTGATATATGTGGCCAAGGATTGCAAAATTCCAAAACCTTGGCTCGTATACCCACAGCGAGAATATGTTCTACCTAGTAAATTGGACGGACTGACTTATAAGTGGAAGGCTGATATTGGAAAATTTTCATTAGAATCCAAATACTGTGGCCTCCACCGTAAAAACCATGATATATAATTGGCTTTGTATCAATACACCATTAAATTTAATTGTCACGGGATAGAATCAATTTTTCAAGGACGCTATAGGTTTGGAAAACTTGTCAAAAACATAATTCCTAGAGGAACTATCATGATTTTAATCCATATAGAAATAATAATAATAAGAAAAAGTATCTGCATTGAAAAAGTGGCGCCCAATATGGAAAAGGCAGAATACAAAATTATTATAACATCATAGAGGGAAAATTGACATTCTAATACCAATTCTAACCATTCAGTGAAACCCATCGGTTATACGATTTGTTTTCAATGTTTTTTTATTTTTTTTTTTTGTAGAAGGATATAAAAATATAGAAGTCACACTCAACATTAAAAGGGCATACTTGAGAATTATTCTCATATAAATTTGAGACGTGACTTTTATTTTTCGTAGTAAAAAGTCCTTTTTCAGTAAAATTCCAAGATTCTCTGGCCTAAAACACGGAGCTGATAAATTTTTTAATTTTTTTTTTAATTTTTTAAGAGAAATTTGCGATCAAAAGATATGGCGCCCAATAATTTTTGTCAATTAATTCTTCAGTAACATGCTTTTCCTGTATCATTCTGATATCAAAAACATGTTAATGAGGACGAATTTAAACATATATATTTTTTTAAAGTGGCACTCAAATTTCTATTCAGATTCTGGCTAGGTAAACCAATTTTCGAGCTTCTAGAATAAGAGCGTAAGGGAGCGACCAGTCACAGATTTGATATGCCTCCCATTGTTAGGAAATTTTAACGAGAGCCGTATTTAAAAATACATATATTTTAATATAGTGGCGCCCAACGTTAATATAGACCCAATTTTGATAAATAACCATATTAAGGTTCGAATTATAAATTATAAATTGATTTTTTTAACATATTTTTCTTATTTCGAATTTATATTTCGTTGATATTTTCGAAAAATGATTACATAACGTCGGCCAACGTTAAAAGTTCATAGAAAATTATTCTCTAATCTGTAATAGAAAAAATATAAAGTGGCGCCCAACGCTAAACGGAGCATAACAAAATATTATGGCGGCTCTTTGATATCTGGTACTTGTTTATATTTTTATAGCGAAATTAAAATTCTGACGTCTCTTTGGTATATGGTTCTGGTTTACATTTATAGCGGAATTTTCACTTTTCAACACAGATCCGGATATATTGGTTCGTAAATTTTTCTTTTTTTTATAGTGGCGCCCAACTTAAAGCATTGTAATTTTGCAATTATTGAAAATTTCGGCGAAAATAATGCTGAGTGCAGTCAACCGAAGGCACCCAACGTTAAAGGCTCATAGAAAATTATTTTTTAAAAGAAAAACATATAATGTGGCGCCCAACGCTTAATGGATAATTATAAAATGTTAGGCCATCTCTTTTATATTCGGTTTTGATTTATGTTTTTATAGCAGAATTACACTATTCAACACAGGATGGTAAATTTTAATTTTTTTGAAAAAGTGGCGCCCAACTTGGAGTTGGCAAAATTTTGCAAAAATCGATCGAAAAAGATTTTTGTTAAGTGGCGCCCAACCTTATAGGACCATACACTTAATTCTCCCTTCTCTTTAATATCTATTCTAGGATTTCAAAAGAAAAATCCACTTTTCAACCCAGATTTAGCATTTGTATGGGTCCACATTATTTTCCCGATTGATTTTCAAAGTTTTTTTTCGTGTGTTGCAAGCGGGATAGATAAGGACAATAACTTCTAATGTGAACGAAATTTAAGCAGTTATATATATTATATATATATATATATATATATATATTTTTTTTTTTTTCTTATTTATATGTTTTGTTTTCATTCTCAAATTTGTATTAGAAAATCCCATTCTGGATAATCCCTCAATAAAATCAAAAAAATCCCTTCTAATTTTTTTCTTTTTCATTAAATAACTCATTGTCGTGAAAACCCCACCACTAACTAGGGGTTTGGGAAATCCCCCTCTGCCCTCTGCATCACCTCCTGCTGCTACTAATTTATAATTACCTTTGACGTCGTTGCATGGCCGATGCAGCCGAGGCTGATTTGGCCAAAAGAGCTGTGCGTTTTTTTGTCATGGCCAGGGAGCTGGCTCTACGTGATGTCGCCAACGATGAGGGTGGTGATGTTGAGGCTGGGGATGGCGACTGACACGCTGAGGATAATGTAGAGGATGGCGATGGAGAACATGCCGGTGGCGGTGAAGATGTTTCCTCCATATTTGTGGTGGCTATAAATGATAAACAGGATGCGGATTCAATTGTTGACAACATTGTTGCGGCAGCTGCTGGCGATGAAGTCTGTGACAGTTTTGCACATGTTAGGGTATATGAACCTTTACGATTTAACATTTTATGGCAAAATGGTTGTTGTACAACGACAATGACTAAGATTACAATGAAATTGTGGTGTAAAAAGGTTGTTGGTGTTTTTGTTGTTGTTAAAATGACACATCCACTATTATTGTAGTTGTTGCTGTTGCATTGGTAATTTGAACACCTTTTAACGCTTATAAAGTTGTAACGTTTGGTTTTATGAGCACGTAAAACGTATATCCACAATTGCCGTATTATAATACGGTCCCCATGGGTTAGCATAATAACATTTCACATTGGGGGTATGCGGCAAATATTGTTGCAGTTGTTATTGTAGCCGTTGCAATTGCCAGTGAAATGCACTTTGGGAACACAGATAGACGACACACACAAACACTCAACAATTTAAATGCATCAAGAATTTGGGTTATTTAATTTTTTTTGCGTTTTTCATATATTTTTTAATTTATTTTTCTTTCTTTCTGTCGTTTTTCATAGAATGCACTTTTTATTATTTATTTTTTGGGAGGAAGTCACGCGCGTCTTTTTTTTACGTTTCATTTACGCTTCCAATTCATGAGAGCGAGATTTAAACATTAAGATCGCTAGCTGCTTCGTTAACGGTAATCCATTCTGTGGGCATAGTTCGAGATACGTTCCCGTAGACGTTTAGAGTAAGACTAACAAAACCCTGGTGTATGGAGTATAAACAACCATAGGATTTTTTCGGTGTTTGCCAGAGTATCTGTGTGTGTGTGCTCAAAGAGAGTGTGAGTAAAATTATGTGTGTGTGTGTTTGTTTGTCTGTTTGCGGTATGCCTATGCATGCATTTGATATGAAATGTTGAAAAAGTAACAGAAAAGGCCCTTAAAATATAAAAACATCACACTCTCGCACATAGATACACACGCACACAGATGCACACACGTACTTCTGTGGTCACCAATACCTACGCTCTGCATTTTCATTAAACTCTTCTTCTTCTGAACAAACAAACGAACGAACATACAGTATGCAGATACTTGTTAGGGAAAACATATAAAAACAACTCCGCACAATTTAAAGAGGATGCATATTTAAAAGCAACAACAATGACATTAACGCCACCAGCAACAACAACAAAAAATATTCATTGTGAGTAAATTTATTGTATTGTTGTGTCGTTATTTCGTTTTTTTTTTTCAATAAATTTAAACTGCCGGCTAAGGTCTTCACTCACTCTCTCTCTCATGCTTGGTTTCTACTATGTGGAACATTCATAAGATTCCCTTCATTCACAAAAATCAACAAAGAACCTCATACGAGGAAGAGAAAAAAAGCAGAAAAATATTAAGCACAACATTAGGGTAGGTAAAGTAATGACAACTGTCTGATAAAGTAACACGACAGACCAGACCGGTACGGAGCAGACGATGCAAATCTTTTACGAAGAACAGTGGGGGAAATTTTGATAAGATTGACAAATAAAGGGTTATAATATAGAATTACTTATTTTAAATAAACAAACTTCTGTAGATAAGAGGCCGTCTAAAGATATTTTATAAATTGGAAGTCTCCTGAAGGACTTATATATAAGGTCTTCCATCTATTAATCTTGATGAATTGCTTTTAGTAAAATTGATTATAATAACAAAATAAAAACCATAACAATATTTATAAATAAAAAAGCTGTAAGTTCGGCTGGGCCCAACTTTGAATACTCTCCAACATTTGGTACAAAATTGGCAATTTTCAAAAAAAAAAAAAAAAAAAAAGAAATAAATAAATAAATAAATAATAATAATAATAATAATAATAATAATAATAATAATAATAATAATACTAATAATAATAATAATAATAATAATAATAATAATAATAATAACAATAATAATAATAATAATAATAATAATAATAATAATAATAATAATAATAATAATAATAATAATAATAATTATAATAATAATAGTACTATACAAAATAATCTTAAAAAGGCATTTCCATTAGAGAAAATTTTTGGAAGTCCAGTAATTTGTGAATGTTTTTAAATAAGTGGCGCTCAACGTTAATGAGGGCATAAATAAATATTCTCCCATCTCGTAGATTTTTGGATTATAGAGGAAAGAAATGCAAAAAAGCCTCTACGATAAGAGGCGTTTTAAAAGTATTCTCTACAGAGAAGTTCTGTGTATAGGAAATCTTCCGATGGTCTTCTGCAGACAAAAGATTTTCTGGAAGTCTTCTTCAGACGGAAGATTATCTAAAGATTTGCTACAGACTAATATCGTTCTAAAGGATTCCAACAACAATAAAAACATAAAAACGCTTGAACAAAGCGAAATTACTTGGAAAATCATAGTAATGTTGCAGAATCTGTGAAAATAGCGTAAGGGTTTGGGAAGAAGAGAAGCATCGCCACAGTAAACCCGCACGCATTCATTGAAAAGCCGATGAACCCTAAATGAGTCACTTTTGTGCGAATTCTGGTCCAGAGGCATAATTGGGCTGTTTTTCTTCGAAATAGAAAAAGAGGTGGTCGTTTACTGGCCATGTTCAAAAATTTTTTTTGGCAAAAATTTGAAGTGGAGTTTATTGGCAAAATTTTATTTCAAAAGGATGGAGTTACATATTTGAAGGATCCCATGCAATATACCCTTCTTAACAAACCTGTGTAGACGTTTTGAAAAGCTGAATAGTCCTCTATAGATCTTATGAAGCTCGAAGACCCTATAATGGTCTTCGATAGGCACAAGGTATTTTGCATGTCCTTTATGGACAGCAGTAGATTTAGTTAAGATCTTCTTTAAACAGATCAGACCATTAATAGGGCTTCTATAGGCATTATGAAGGCAAAAAGCCAGAACCCTATAGACAGAAGGTCTTCTAAATATAAAAGACCCTCTGACGCCAAAAGATCTTCTTAAGGCCTTCTGCAATATAAACACATTGATGGACCTTCTATAAGAAGATGACCCTTTAAGTCTTTTTGTGATATATGACCCTCTAAAGACCACCTTTAGTTAAAAGATCCATAAAAGTTGTCTACAAATATAAGATTATCTAAAATTTTCTGAAAACAGAAGTCCCTTAGACCTTCATAAGGCCTCATGCAGGCAGGTGATCAGGTGAAGACAGGTGAAAATGCCTATAAACAGAAGCTCCATATGGCTTCCTAAGGTCCCATGCGAGGAGCAAAGTTAATCACCTTCTATGGACAGAAGGCCTTCTGGAAAGGATCTATATGGCTTAAAGAAGGCCTTTTAGGAGAAGAACTGAAGATTTCCAAGAGTAAATTTTCATTTGATTTTTTGAAGATATTTTTTGTGCCAATAGCTTTTCATGATCTCCTGAAAATTCCCGTTTTTCGTAAGGCTCTCTAGAAAAATAAGATCTTTGTTAGGGCCTTATAAAGGTCTTCTATATACCGAAGAGTTTTTGAAGCTCTATTATATACAGAGTACAGATTTGCCGAGAAACTCTGTTTATCGCTGAAGTACTGAAAGGATTGATCCGCACACTATACAATACTTATTTGCAACTTATCTCATTATTCACAACCTATATACCCACAGTGACCCGTATACCAAAAATCATAATTCCAATTATATTCCGATAATCTACACATAATTTAGTACCATTTAGTGCATTTCATACTCTATTTACTCGAATGTCCAAATCCACATCCTGATCTAAACGCTACACTGTGAGTGTAATCCCCATACCAATATTTACAATTCTATCCAGCGTTCGAAAATAAACAGTTTGGTACTGTACCGTAGTGTTCTGTACCGTTCCGAGGTGGAGTGGTACACTAAGATAATGTACCGTACCGGAGCACAACCCTTAAAAAATATTTTAGTGATACTGTACCGGAGCACAACGAGAATCGTACTGTACCGCAGTCGGAGCACTAAAAAACGTAGTGTTCCGCAGTCGGAGCACTACAAAATCGTAGTGTACCACATATGTGTTGTTTACGATTTGTGAGAAAATTAGATGTTTGATGTTTTTGATAATGCAAAAATTGCTAACACAATTCAATATTATGAAAATAAAAGTATAAAATATGGGAACAGGCAGAGAGATAAAAAAGGACCAAATCTGAAGTGATAATAATTTGTATTTAACCATTGAAAATTGAAATTTTTAATTTTTCGTGAAAAGGAGCATTTAAGTGGTTGTGTTGTAATGGTTATTATGCAAATAATTTACCTGCTATTTTATGGTACCGAAAATTCAATGAATGTAGGTGTAAAAACTGAATATTTTACAAAGTATGGCTGAGTGTTTAAAATCAGTTTTATGATTTCGATTTTTTTAAATGTGGTGCATGTGGTACACTGCGATTTTTTAATGCTTCGATTGCGGAACACTAAGTTTTTTAGTGCTCCGACTCCGGAACACTACGATTTTTTAGTGTTCCGACTGCGGTACACTACGATTTTTTAGCGCTCCGACTGCGATACACTACGATCATCGTTGTGTTCCGGTACAGTATCACTAAAATATTTTTAAGTGGTAGTGTACCGGTACACTACCGCTAAATTTTTTTTTAGTGATGCTGTACCGGTACAGTACACTATGTTAATGTACTGTTTATTTTCGAACGCTGATTCTATCTCAGGTATACTTCTCAAAATTGATTTTCATATAAAATTTCAATATTTTAGATATATTCTTTAAAAATGAAAACGATCATAGTGCCACATTAGTTCCCATTATTACATTTCGTTCACTTAAATTTCTAATCCCCTTCCACAGTTCAAATTTCAGAGTTCTAACTCTATCCGTTCGCCCAACTAAATGTAAATGTAAAGTACTAAAAGGACTTTTCATACCCTTCTAGTACACAAAGAACCCCCTTTTAATTTTTTTTTTTTCAAATCATTTTTAACCTTTTTTTCTATTTCCCCACTGTAACTCCAGAACGTAGCTGACAGAAAAACGACACACGCATAATGATATCGAACGAAACGTGCCCAGAGAGTTGTATGCGTGTTTTTTGGGGGGAAGATTCAACAACTTTTGCTTATGTGAGTAACACACATCTGTATCGGAGCATAGCTCTGGGTTGTGTGCAGTTGTGCGTCGGTCGTTCTGTGTCATCTTACAAATGTGAAGTTTGAAACAATTTTTTCCGTTGTTGTTTCTTTTGACACACAACCAACTGTCATTTTCAATTTACTTTGACGGCACAGAACAAGAACAACAAGAGGCAGTCACAGGCAGGCAGAGAGACAGACATCATAGTCTTCAGTACAACAAGTACTCCTCAGAACAACAGTTGCTTAAGGCTGATGAAGCTGCAAATGCAGGCACATACACTCTTACAGTTACAGATTTACACTCCGATGGCGTTAGAGATGGAGACAATGGAGTTGGTGTTAGTGGTTCAATGCTTAAGGTTTGAAGTTGCAGTTGTTGTTGTTGTTGTTGATGTTCAGACTGACAGATACTCATGTAATGATATTTGAATAAAAAAAAACTCATCTTTCAGATGAACATTGACTGTGTGTGTTTGTTTCAGTATCTGTGTGGACATATGACAACAAAAACTTGAAACATCAAAAGAACAAAATTAATTTTAAAATCGGTGGTTGTGGGCTTCGTTCGTTAATTTTTGAAACAGATGTTTTATATTTTGGTTGGCCTGCATTTTGATCTCTGCAAAGATTTACTGTACCCTTCACCCACTCCACCACCCAAAAGCTTTATAAATTGTAAC